AACAGCTCCAAAAGGCACGGTCTGCAGAGGCTCGGTGGCTGTGAAACATCTGGATTTGCATGTCAGGAAGAAGGTGCTCTGGTCAGAGGAGGACAGGAGAGCATAGCAGTGAAGGACCAACTCTGAGAGGATCCCCAGCCAGCGTGGGAGACATTCACCATTACGGTGATTCCTATATTCTTATAGCTGATGAAAAACCAAGTTAAGCCAAATGAACCAAATTGCCAGGTATGTAATGAAATAGATACTGAAACACCTTCATGTGCAGAGAGCACAAGATTCAAGATTCTAGAGAAAACACACCTTTGGTATGTAGTATTTTAATTACTATATAGTATTTGTCTCTGCTGATGAAGAATAAAAAAATACTAAGGTGGGAATGGCTGTTTTTCCCATTGTCTTTGACACACAGATTGTTAGAGAGCAATGGCACTTCCCAAACGGGCACTAGAATCTTGCATGAAAAAACCTACCTACCTGAACTTTTAAGTGTCACTTCTCACATGTGTGTGTGTTCTGAGCTTTCAGCAGCAGTGCTGTGGTGGTTAAGCACATTGGGAAGCTCAGGTATTTCAGTGCAAGAAACAGCTTTAATACCTCCAGAGACATCTTTTAAACCCTTCACTCACAGCAGCTCTAGGCTGAGGTTTAGGCTGAACTGGACATGCCCAAGCCTACTTCCTGCTATGTTGTAACATGGGTAATACTTCAAAACAGAAATCTGACACCTTGCCCAGCAGCAAGTGCTTGCTATTTAATCACTTCCATTCTCCCAACCAGCTCTACAGATCCAGTAGGATGTAACAACACTGGGAGCTGCCCCGGCCACAGTCAGGCACAGCCTGCCCTTGTCCAGGCAGGGGGTTCACACCACGCTGCTGAGCAGCTGGTAGCTTGGGCAGCTGCAGGCCAGCCTGGCCTTCTCCCATGTGCTTCTCTGCTTCTCACTGCACAGCAAGGACCTCACAGGCTGAAGGAGCTCCTTCCTGCTCACTTGTTGGTCCCAGTGCGTGACCTGTGTCTACAGCACAGCCTTCAAAGCCAGTTGGCAACTGCACATTCTCTAGCATGTAGAGAGCAAAAGAGTTAAAATGAACACAGCCCTTTGTAGAATGGTTTGGCTTGGAAAGGACCTCAAAAGATCATGCACTTCCAACCCCCCTGCCACAGGCAGGGACACCTTCCACTAGACCAGGTTGCTTCAAGCCCCATCCAACCTGGCCTTGAACACTTGGGGCAACCTGTGCCAGCGCCTCACCACCCTCACAGTACTTCTTCCTATTATCTCATCTAAATCTCCCTTCTGTCAATTTAAAGCCATTCCCCCCTATCCTAAAATGACATGCCCTTGAAGAAGTCCCTCTCCAGCTTTCTTGTAGACCCCTTTAGGTACTGGAAGCTGCTTTAAGATCTCCCTGGAGCCTTCTCTTCTCCAGGCTGAACAAGCCCAGATCTCTCAGCCTGTCTCCATAGGAGAGGTGCTCCAGCCTCTGGTCATCCTCATGGCCCTTAACTCTTCAACGCAAGCATGTAGCCGTATACTCTGACTACAAGACACTACCAGCAAAGATGTTTTCTGCTTAGCATGGCTTATTTAGAAGATGATTTAGACATTGTCAATAATCCCTCACTGATGTTTGGGCATCAGCTACTGCTACCAGATTCATCCCTTCCTGTTATCAGTTCCACTGTTTTAAAATGCTAGTTATCCTAAGATAGTAAAGATTAACAACTACATTTAAACCACAGAATTGAGCCAAACAAAATCTATTCTGGTTTTAGATTTATATAGAACCTAATTTTAGCTTATTGAAAATAAAAATCTAATGCACTAGAAATGTGCTTCCTGTATGGATTAGAGATGAATGTATAGCAGTCCATGTAAGGAATGAACTGGAAAGTTCTGATTTAGAAGCTGTTCATGCCAAGATTCCATACCATGAAAATAGTCCTAAATCATCACCGAACAACTGGAAAAACACCAGCACAAAGGTTACACACTATGCATTTTTAATCCTGAATAGTTTTAGTTTCTATCAAACTCTCCATTTCTCTTTCATCTTAACATTTTTTCTCATTTCGAGGGTAAGTGAAAGGTGTACTTGATTGACTATTTTGTCTCAGGTGTTTGCGCAATGTCTTTATCATACATCCTTTTTGTTTATTGCAGCATCACATGATGAAAGTAGCTCATACAAGACTCTTGCTTTTTAGTTTTGCGAAGCTATG